AGCTGGGTGCTGATGCTTTCCCTCAGCAGTTCCCTCAGACATTTGCTGTGAGGTCACAGGTTAAACAGTTCAAAGGCTGATGCTTCTCAGCACCTTTATTGGATTCACTTTGTGTTCCCACGAGGACAAAAGTATTTTTCTGCAATTCACTGGGAAAGAACTATAGAAACTTTGTGGAAAATCATGGCTTATGTCTAAAAATTTGTAGTAATGTGGCTTACTGCAGTGGATCTTGTGTTGTCTTGTACAGACACCTCAATACAAGAGAGGGAGTTGCTGGAAATGCTCTTCATAGGGATTTTAATTTTATGGGGTTTACCCTCACCCTAGTAATTATTACCAGAGCAGCCCTCAATGGCTTTTTGATTTCTTACCCTTGCATAAGTAGTTACAAGAAAAGCAGAATCCTTCAAGTGGTTTGTTTTTTTTTAAAGAATAGTGTAAGTACAGCAGCAACACCCAATCCAGGTGTGCCATCTCCAGGACTGCACATACAATTGCAGTAACTACATAAATTGTCCACCAGAGATCTTCTAAACCCTTTCCATGCTGAGCTACTAAGCCTGCATGCATAATTCTAGCAAATGTTTTTATACAGAAAAGATAAAGTTCTGTTTGCTTTACCTTGCCAACTGGAATTACCTCCTCCTTATCTGGACTTAGCCTCAGCCACTGCCTTCTCATCCAGGCTCCTATCTCAGCCAAACATTCTGGAAGCAGAGAAAAGCTCAGCATTTCACAATCTGCTGCTGCTTTCCTGTTGAGCTTAGAGTACTCAGTCACTTACATCCGTTTGATAAAAAGCACTGGACTGTTTATCAATAAACTGGCCTACATCATAGTCCAAATCTGACATCGGTTCAGCAGAACCTTCAACACCTTGTCACAATGGACCTCAGCCAACCATCACTGTTATCCTCCAAAATCTTGATTCATACTAAAAAGCTTCAAAGAAATCAACCTATCTTGGATTTCCTCTGTAATACTCAATCCAAGTGGCTGAAGCAGAGCCACGGTCCTTTAAAGTTTAAAATGGTTCTCTATTGAGTTTCAATAATCTGTTTGTTTTTATTTTTCTAATTCAGAATGTGTTGCTATGGAAAGCACCCCTGCTCAACTTAGGACAAAGACATATTTCCTTCAAGTGGGTGGGGTTTCTCGACTGTGCTCACCACCCTGTCCTCCCTGATTTACTGCAGAGCTGGGTGAAGCTTCTTTGAAAGTCCTTGTGTAAATAAATCAAGGCGCTTTATTCAACAGGTCCTTTTCAAGATTAAAACCACAAAAACTGAAATCCACTGAAGCTGAGTCATTTCACCCCTCATTCTTACTTGACAACCACCCAAATCAATTTTCATACTCTTTCTTCTAATTTGGGGGTATTTGAGAACTCTCTCCTCCCCAGGATACTTAAAGGGAATTTAAAAATGAAACATTGAAAAATGTTTGGTCTCTTTAAATCAAGTTTATAACAGTGTAAATTGGCAGTAAATCCTTTCATTTAACTGAATTTATTTTCGATTTTTACCATAGAACATATTTTCTTGGAAATAGTGTTATAAATTATGACAATCTAGTAATATACACAACCTCTATTTTCATCAGGATCTTGACTCCTACCCCAAAACTTTTGATATTTGTATCGATGCTAAATGAACTTTTTAACGATTACTCCAAACAGACTGTTAAAGCATCCACAGCTGCAATTAATTATAGAAAATAATTCAAAAGATTGGGACTATTTGGATGGCTCTATACATCTACTTCAGTTGGGAAAGGTAGGAAAAAACCACAGTGCAAACGTAAGAAGCCTCCAAATACTATAAAATTAAATAGAGCATCACTGTGTCTGCCTGGAAGGTTTTAAAAAAAAAAAAAAAAATCAAGCACAAATTAGGTCTGTTTGTGGCAGATGTCTCTTCACAGCTAACTCACATCTTGGTCATGCTTGTTATATTACAATATTTACTACAACTGTTCTGACAATACCATAAATATGTATGTAACAAAGGTAGACAATAGACTAGACCCTTCCTGGGTGAGCTGATTGTAGATGAGGCATTCACAAAAAGGGTGCAAACTGCACACTATCTTCATTCTCACCTTTTGTTTTGTTTTGTTTTAACTTTGCACGTTTGAAAACAGACCAAGTAGATGAGGTTTCTATTTCATTTTCCACACAGATTCTGCATCACTTGAACTCATCCCATAGGCCAATTGCCAGATTTCTGGTTGTGGTGTTCCCTATATACCAAAACCACTCTGTTCAGGAACAAGGGAGAGCATAGCTGAAACCTCCCAGATGGTCCAGAAACTTTACAATTCTGGAAAAACACGAGAACAACAGAGATGATATAATTCTGGCTGCTGTTGTTCTCTTGCTGCTTGCTGCAAGGGAGCCATCTCTCTCTTGCATAAACCATCATCTCTAGCTGGGACATGGCCAAGGAGAAACTCGGTTTCTAGAATGGTCCAGAAAAGAAGATTTTGGCCACACAGGCTAAGTGCTGGGAACATGGTCTACGGTTTATGTTTCCTTTTGCACAGGTAGTTTTTGCTTTTCTGTCTGCAGTTTGCAAACCAAACCATCTCACTGCCACCGAGCTCATATTTTGAAGGGTTTTCTTTAACCTCCTAAAGAGAAGGGTTTTTTTAATTAAATGCTAAAGTTTTCCTGACATTTATGCTCAGTAAGAAATAGCATGTGCACATAAAAACTGGGTGCAGGTTCTGTGAATGATTCAGAAGGGAAACAAAAGCGTTGTAGGTCAAAGTTTTTTCTCTTTAGTTTTGCACCCAAACAGCCCATCATTTCCGAAAGTCTACACCATAAGAACTTTCCTTTGGTTGTGCTGTTCAACCCACAAGAAATGACTCATTCTCTTCAGCTTAGTCGCTCTATAATAAACTTCACATTTTCAGAACCTTGCAGGATCAAATCCCTAAAAAGCTTCACAAAGTTTGGTCATCTTAATGCCACAGTGTAAAGCTGAGGAATTTGAGGCTTTTTTTTTTTAACTGCTCTTAAAATACAGAAAAGTTGATAGTTGTACAGAAACCAGGTTATGTTCTGCAACAGTAAGCATCTATACTATGATGTTGGACATATATACATTAGTTAATTTGGTAGATGTGACCTCTAAACTGCCCAAGATTATAAATTTAGAAGACACGTCATGGAAGAATGGAACATGAAGGAATGACAATCTTGTTTTGTTAGTAGATGAGAATAAAACCCAGTTATCTTGTGTTTATGCTCAGTATTAAAATCTCTGAAGCTATGGCTGAGCTCCCTGCTGCAATTAAGCATGAAGCTCCTATGAGGTGTGCTCGTGACCAGGAGCTACCTGTTGCTGTTAAGTAGCTTCAACAACTATGTCTGACCTGTGCTAAACACAGTTGCCTAACCATGATCAGTTAGTTGGCTATTAAACTGTGATTAAGCCTGAATGAATAGTGATGTTTATGGGCAGCAACTCTTTTCAATTTCATCAAGTACCTACCTCTTCTTTTTAAGGTACAGAAAGCTGTATGTTGAGGACAGTAAATTACTCATCCTGAAAAACACTGAGAGTCAAACCAAGAATCCATTATATTTGCAATCGAATCCTACTGTACAAAAACCCCCTGTGCTTTAAGGAAGGCATATCTTGTCAGGAAGGAAGTAAAATGAAATTGAAACCTAACTGAGCATCCCGAGATCACAAACTGCTTGTACATCTCCCAGTGACCTTTTTTCTGATCATGTAACCACACAAAGCAAATCACTTGCTAGATTTCAACCTCCTCTTACTCAGCTTTGGGGTACTTTAAATAAGTTATACTGTGAATGCAATGGAAACTTCTTACATGATGTTCTAAACTAGACAAAACACTTCTTGGTTAACTCTAGTTGAGTAGTCCCAAGTCCATTTCAGTAAAACATTCTCAGTGCTACGTCAGGTTCCTCATGAAAATTCAAAAGCACTCGCCTCAACAAGATTAAAAATCCCCAAGAGGTAAATGCAGATTTGCAAGATGACTTTTAAGAGATTAACCAGTATGACTGAAAGCAGGTGGGAAGATGAAGGCCAGGAGCCGAGGTGTGATGCGTGGCTCCTGGCTGCCCAACAGACACGGCAAAAATGAAGACACTTACTTCATCTCTGTACCTTCACCAGCACTGTCAGCTTTCTACAGGCTTTTCTCTTTTGCTTTGTGTTCCTCACTGGCAGCTGTAACACAGAAAAGGTGCAAGGAATAACCAAAGTTTTAATCAGAGTTTCATTGAAGACTGCTTCAAGTGGTGTCAAACACTAGTTCAGTTGGCCTCTTTTACCATCCTGTGGCTGGGCAATTTTGGCTTCCAGCCTTAGGGGCAGATACAGTTGGATAAAGTGGCCATAATGTTAACTTTTCCTAATTAAATAATTCCATAATGTTAACTCTGTGTGTAGTTCGAGGCAGGGACCCTGCTCAAGGCCACCCCTATCTCTGTAGGAGAGGGATGCTCCAGCCCACCTTCAGCTGGGAGAAACCAAAACCTCCTACTAATCAAAACTAAGCGGAGAAGAATAAACACTAAAGGCTGAATCCCCTCAAGTGTGTAAGCAAGCCCTGACGCTGTCACCCTGAGAGGAAACACCTTTTTGGTGTGTGTCAGGCACAGCCTGACCATGGGAAATGGCGAACACGCACCCAGCAGGGAAGGGCGGTCTCTTCTCTAACGTTGCCACAGCTGGTAAAAGCTGAGCCTTGAGGAAGGAGCTGCCGGGCGGGCAGAAGCCGCTCTCCCCGCCTCGCCTCGGGCAGAGAAGCCGCCCTCTCCCCTGAGGGAGCCATGGCGACGGGGGGGCCGTGCCGGAAGGGGCCGCGCCGGCCTGGGCGGTGGCGCCCGGCCGCTCCGCGATGCTGCCGCTGCTGCTGCGCCGGGTTTGGGC